TGCTTAATTTAGGACGCCATCTTGAGTGAATTTATTTGGATGCCACTTTCACGCTGGGATGTGCCGTTCTTTTCTTAGAGATGGGAATGAAACGAGCAGCCCCTTCCTCATATTCTGATTTCTGAAAAGAGCCTTCCCAAATCCAGTGCTCCAGATGTCTAGGACTACGTCCTATGCAGCTGTGTGGTGGATGACAGAAGCAGTAGTCCAATACCTCTGAAAAGCGCGAGAAAAGCTATGATAGATTTATAATGACCTGATAATGTATAGCTAAGGCTACTGAAATAACTATTTCCCGCTAAATTTTAGGGTTAGTTAAAACTTTCTTCTCTTTCCTTTCCAGCTTCAAAGGAATTGCCCCAAATGCAGAGAAGTTGATTCCGTCTGGTGCTGGAGAGGTTTTCTCCTTCCCCTTGCAAAGCATCGGGCATCTCCTCAGAAGGGCAGCCGGTGGGGCCTGGAGTGGAGCGGCTGTCGTCTTAGTGGGGGCTTGTCTTCTTTCTGTGTGCTTCAGGTTTGGGTGCGGCGCCGGTCGTGCTGAGTTTAGGAATCTCTGACCTGGACTATGTAGGATCAGAAATTCTTGAAGAGCTGTCCCTGTAGGGTCTGGGAAGCAAATCCAGTGTGTTCTCAGAGGCGGGGGCTGGCGCGGCTCTCGAGGAGGTGGGGGCCTTTGAAGCAGGCCAAATGCATCCTAGCCCATCAGCTCTCCCTTCTTTTTCTGCCTCTTCGATCTCCCTCTCTTGTATTTCTTTTCACCCTGCTTCTTTGTATTCTTTGTATCATCATCATCATCCTAACCGAAAAAAATCGGGGCAGCTGAAGTAGCCTTCGGTTTTATAGGAGGTGGTGGTGTCTGTGAAGGTAGATCTCTTCTTCAACTTTGTAAACACTGCTCGCTTTATGAATTCCTTCCTTCCAAAGGTCATAATCTGGCTTGCTGAATTGGAGGATCAGGAGGAAGACGCTGAAGGAGACTGGCTATTACCCAAAATCACCTCCTGGAAGCAACATACACCCACAGACTCCTTTCTGTGGAAGTTAATTCCACCTGAGACATAGTCATTTTCTCAGTGAGAGCAGTTGATCTACTTTGCTGCAAGCCACGATCCAGGCTGCCCCGAAGGAAAGGAGGCTATGTGACCTATCAACTTCAGAGTCGATCAAATGATTGTTGCATCTTTCCGTCAAGGACAATCGATAAGCTTTCACTGCCAAGTCTATGCTCTCTTAGCTGGAAATCAAATTCTCTTCAAATCAAAGACACTTACTTACAAGTAAGCACTATTGCAACTAATTGAAAATATGACCCTGTCTACCAACTGAAATTCAAACACTTTGCCTGACTTGATTTAGAGATCAGCTTATGTGATTAAAATCAAATCCATCTCTTTGGATGTGGTTTACATCCAAAATAATTCTGTCTCATAACTGCTGTATATTTGAATGGCTCTGTGGCTGCTAGATTTCGGCAGTTCCATAGATATAGTTTGATCATTTTAGCTGAAATAAATACATTCCAGTGTAGACATGGGGATCCAAATGGAAGAGTAGAACTGAATGCAATTTCATAAAAACCTATTAATAATACACATTAGAGGAATATATTCTAGGACCAAATTTCCAATCTAAGCAACACTCCAAAGAAAATGCAGAGGATGGAAGGCAGAAGGCTTTGAAAGATTTGGAAACCCTCTATTTTTATGTGGCACTATTGAGAAGCCCTGTTTGGGGGGGAAAAGAAAACTCTGTATGATTAAAAAGTGCGATTTTGTTTTTGTTTTTCCTTTCTTCCTTTTCTGTATTTAAATAAACAAAAGAATACTAAAAAAAAAAACCCACTGCAAAGTAAAATACATATATCTACTGCCGAGTATTATTACTTTGAGCTAGTTAGACATTATTATTATAATGGCAAAATACATTTTAATGTATTTTGATTATATGATTATTATAGATTAAGCTGAGTTTGTGTTCTTAACATAAATAAAATAAGAACCATAGTCAATAAATAAGTATAAGGTTTTTATTTATATTGAGATGCCTATACTGAAGGTATCCCTGTATAATCACTGCATATTGGTAGGTATTAAAGAGATTAAATATGCTATGTATATAAGTAACTTTTGTATCTCAGACTGAATTTCTGCATGTAATATAGATCCTATCCATCACCAATAATATTTTGGCATGCAATTCTATTATCTTCTTACTAGTTTTTGTTTTGGGGATTTTAAAATTTTATTTTCTTTAATAGAACAGTTCTGAAATTGCCAACCTGTGAAATAACTGACAGGAAAACAAAGCTCTTAATTTCTTAGGTGACTAAATTATTTTAAACAATTCAATTCAGAGCTCCTACAAATAAAGAAATAATCATAAAATCAATATACCCTGGTAAACAAAACACCCCTCCCCATCCCAGCATTGGCTTTATAACAGGGATCTTTGGATTCAGGTAAGATTAGTAGTGATCTTTCAGTTTAAAAGTTTCTCCTCTTCGCAAGGAAACCAGAATCTCTAGCACAACAGACACAAAGCTTAGTTCGTGACTCTGAACTCAACTGCAGCCCGAGCGAAACTAACTTCCTGGGAGGGAAGCCCCACTAAAAAAAATGGGCTCACCGTTCACGGAAGCTAGTTGGGGCGCCATGTTACTCGCATGCCGTCCCCTGAACGAAACTTCTTTCTCGACCGGCGCGCAGAAGTTCTGCTAACCTATAACCCATCAGCCCCGGATACGCCTCGACTTCGGAAGTCACTCCCATTGATTTGATGGCACTCATTTTCCAGCGGCTCTCTGGAAGCGGCGCGCGGGGAGTCAAGGGGAAAACTGACGCTCTGCCTCCAAAGTTGCTGCAATTACATTGGCGTGCCAGAGCTCACCTCTTGCCGAGCCCTAAAGCCTAATCAAGGCGCCGGCTTCTGCTTGAAGGAGGTGAACTCTCAGATGGGCACGACTTGCTCCTGAGCGTTTTCTTGCCTACTCAACGAGGGGCTTCCAATTGGAGCAAAATGATCCTTATGCACCAATATGGAGTCGGCGGCAAAGCGACCGGCCATTTACGCAGCCACTTTAGACAAAGATATTTAGTTATTCCCGGGTAGCAGCAAGTGCACTTTTGCGTTTATTCATTTATTTATTTTTATTTGTATGCTAGCTTGCTTAATGATTTTGAAAAGCGTGAGCCCATCGTGCATGCCAACAGATTTATCAGCGGCAATTACTAAACCGTTGAGGCTTTAAAATCATCAGGTTAACTGCCCCTTAGCTGCCTTTTTTCCTCCCTGTTTCAGAGAATTGCTTTATTAAATTAGGTACCACTAACGTGCCAGGCCAGGATGCGGAAAGTCTGTCTCCCTCCCCCCGCCACCTTTCCTTTTTCCCACCCACTCCGTTTCCCAGGGAGAAGAATATGAAATGCGCACATTGAAAAATAGCTTGGGAACAAGGAGGCGCGGCGGCGGCGCGTGACCACGAGGCAACCAAGCCGCCTTGCTTCGATGCATGGACAAGGGCCCGGCCCAATCCGCGCCTGCCCCACTCGCGACGGCGGCGGGGGAGAGGAGTCGCCGAGGCCTCCAACGAGAGCAGGATCGTTGCCTCTAAGAAGTCCTGCCCCCGAAACAGGGCACCTTGACCGCTGGTGGATCGGGGCTGGATTAAAACCTCCGCCACAGCGCCGCCAATTTGGGCTCCCGGTTTGTCTTGACACCGAGGTGGCCGCAGTTAGACTGAGAGAAATCTTAGGAAATAAGGACATAATTCTCCACTGGCGGGGTGATGACCTAACGGGTCTTTGCCAGGCCTGGCGTCTCTGATTCATAACTACCGCGAAACGCGCTTTTAAGCTTCAGACGTGGCCCGGAGGAGTGCGTGACACGGCGCCGATTGGAAAATAACAAACGGCCTCTTAACCTTAATGTGTTTTCCAGCGGCCCCATCATCCTTACATAATTGCTTGACACGTTTTTCCCCAAACTTCCAGCTTCCTCCTGTTTGCAGAGTAACACGCGCGGCGATAGGATCAGATGATTGCATGTCTGGAGAGAGAACATATATTTGGCAAAGCGCGGAGCCGCGGGCGGGCGGGGGAACGAATGCGCTGGGAGGGTCGGACAGATAAGCTTCCTAGAGGCTCGGCAGCAGCTGACGCCTCCTAAGCAGCCCTGAGAAGGCGCAAGTAGTTTGCTCTAGGAAAGCCAGCGCCTCTCCCGGGAGGAGCCGTCCAAGGTCTGGCCCGGGACCGCCTTGCGGCCAACTTGGCGCTGTCTGAACGGGGACTGTTCTTTTCTCTCTGTCCCGGCTTTCTAACGGGAGGCGGGGGCGGAGGCGGGGGCGGA